GCTGGATGTCTTCAGCACTATCATACTCAAAAACAACGTATAATTGTAACATAAAGACGCTTCGGAACAGTCTTTTATTCATTTCATTACGACTTCTTTATGAGAAGTCATATCTTTAAAAAACAAAGTGACTGATATAGTTGCATGCTTTTTCTGGATTTGTTCATAAAAATATATTGCATCATTCTCGAAGAAAAGATCGAATAAAACATGATGCAATAGAAGGAGAACAGTGGATCACTGTAGTTTTTTAGAGGCTTAAAGATCAAAAAGTGATTGTCGCTTTCTGGGCATCGATTTAAATCTGGAAAATGTGTTGAATGTTTTGTATAATCCAACAGTTGTGATTGGAATTCTTAGTGCATACAATGTGGATCGTATCGTCCGAGCTTATTTGTTATTATTTACATCTGTATTTGTACTGTAATTAGAAGACTTTATTCTTGAAAATTCTTTTTATCACCCTGTATTAGAAAAGGTTTTAAAAAATATGATACGATGAATTTAATACATCTATACAATTATTAAATTTAATGAATGTCGTGCAAGATTACCAACAATGGAAACAAAAACAATCGGTGAAAAGTTTGATGTTCAAATATTATGATTACCTTTTACACTGTTCGTTAAAACAAACTATATATTGTCATAAGGACGAACAATTTTACACTTAGAAATATACTGTGGCGTTGTTTTATACCTTTTCTTCCGCATTTGACCATACAAATTATGCAACAATGGCATGTCGTCATATATACCAGATAAGTCAAACACTCATGAAAAAGGTGACATTTATCTTATTGTCTTTACTCATGATTGTCTTTTACAAGTGTGATAAACATTCATATCCATCTATCTTTCGTCACCATTGCTCTGTATATTTCATACATCTAAACGATCGAGTGAGAAAAAAGTGAAGGTCACTAGTGAGTAGTATAAAATAATATAATTAATAATAGAGAAATACTGAATATGTTGTGCTTTCAATTTGGTTTCTGGCTAGTTTAATCTTCATAAACAAAAGGACTTTTACACGATAAAAGCAGAATGAAGTGCAGTTTGGTGAAAATATGATGATAAGATGTATAGAACTACAACTTAGATAATGCTTTATTGAACTGACAAACTAAAATAAAACAAAACATAGAATGAAGAAGTGAACGTAATAATTAATTAAGCAGCTTTAAATTTTAACATTTGGATATTTCAACCTATTTATTCGTTTTTCTATCTGCTGACAGATCGCACTGAAACTTTTACTCTAAACTGTCATTGATATGATTGGTATTCTCTGAGAGTAGCGTTAAGATCGGCAATTTAATAGCGAAAAAGAGGTTTCTGGCAGAGGGTCCTTGACTGACACAGGTTTCCGCGTTTGACGGTGAGGAGTTTTTTCTCTTTCTGCCCTGGATTCCGTAAACAATTTCGCTGCAAGTGTTATTTGTTGCTAATTTCACTATTGTGGTTCTAGTCCTTCTCTTGTTTATCAGTTACCTCTTCCCGCTATGTCTCTCGGTCGCAAATGTTTCGGGTCGTACACTTCGGTCCTTTTTCGATTTTTTATTCTGCTCATGTCCCTCAGTATTCTTTTCTAGGTTGTCATCACTCCAAATATGTTCGCATTCCTTCTTTCACTAATGATATCTCTCCTAAAACAGTACATTCTTCTTTTTGTAAACTACAGTCACCAACCGGAATAATCTTCCATAATCGGTTATTTTTTGTGCTTTATTATGCGTCAAGAAATCGCCTTCGAATTTTTCTTTTGGGTACTATTAGTCATACTTCAGTATTATTAGTCTGGTTGTTTATTTAGTTTATTGTTATTCTTTTTGTTTAGTCTGTTTTCTTTTCTTTTTTAAGTTCTTATCCAGGTTTTTAACTGCTTTTGTTTTTGTTTGGAGAGAGTCTGGCGTTCCAGGTAGACAGCCTTTGGTACCCTCTCAGCTTTCGTGGATAAACTCCTTTATTTTAACACGAGCTAAACAGTGTTCACTAACACGGATGCAAGACCTCCCTGGCACCCAGAGGTGCAGAATCTACCCGTTTGCGCCGACGGCCGTCGGGGGAAAAAAGTTTTATTCGGGGAAATTTTTCAAAATAAAATGCAGGTTCTGGAAAAACGAAGAATTATGTCAGCCTTTAACCACTATCTCCTTTTTTATGTTCTTTCAAAAACTAACTACTCTCTCTAATAAGAAAAACAATGTGGATATATGTACAAGCAGGTTAAAAATACAAATAATGAAGGGAGCCTGACCTGCGGCGGTTTCTTTCTGTCGATATCACGACAATTGCAAAGATTCTTGGGAGTTATTTATAGAAATTCAACGTTGAATTTCCAGTTTTCTCGGAAATTATTTATGGAAATTTGAGCTTGATTTTCTAGAAACTAGAAAATACTCGAGGAATTCATATATGGATTCTTTGAAATTCGCTGAGCATTTTCTACAAATAATTTTCTCCTTTACAGTGTATGAAGCGTGACGAGCAAGAAGGAGGTATCGGCTTGGAAAAGGGTCCGGATAGTACCAATAAATAATATATACCTTCAAAACAAATATTCAGTACCGTTAAATACGCGTGTCGGTAAAATTTAGTTTTGTAGACGTGTCAAAAATATAAGTTGACGTGGGGTGCTTCCACACAGTTCCGCCCACTTTATACAGCCCTCACAGCGGCGAAGATTTCAATATGAATATCGTGTAGAGCATAAAAAGTTAGTCAGATAACATTAGGCTCGTTTTTCAAAAAAACATGTAGAACAAGGTTTTCTATAGGACGAAAGTTTTATGGGTGCTCTTAGTAAAAGCACCCATAAAACTTTCGTCCTATAGAGGCTGAAGAAGCAGTAGTTTTAGCAACAATAAAAGCACATTGTTTTGTTTTTTCTTTTGTTTCATGGCGGGGAAATTTTATTATAATCTTTTACCGTCGGGGGAAATTTCCTAATCTCACGGGTAGATTCTGCACCTCTGCTGACACCAATTAATACATGCCGCTCTGTAGTGTTTCGTTTTGTGCATCATTCTATATGTTGATAAGAGCGCCGATATATCTTTGTACATTAAAAGATGAAGAAGTAGTAAATTGTGAATGAGACAAACTCGAATGGCAAACTCATGTAACTTCTTAATCAGCGTAAAACATCTGCAGACTTGAGAAAGAGTTGATTTTGTAATGTACAGTCTCTGATTTTCTATAATAGTTGTTCATTTCCCGATATTTCTGTTCTTATTTTAACTTGAAGTAGAATTTTCTAAAGTTCTAAAACCATCTGGTCAATATGTATATTGTGTTGCTTTAAAATCCGACCTTTATTATTATTGTGATCTTGATGTTACAAAGAGTCTTTCGATACGTTTGTTCGTTCCGTTATTTAAAAATTATGTTTGTTCTGTTCGTTATCTTTTTTGATCGTTTAGCTTGATTTTCTACAATAAACAAGAGTCTAAAAGAAGATTCATCGCTAATCGGTCTTGAACAGAGTTAGTTGTACTGATGAGAGATAAGCAAGATCTTTTATCTATTTTGTGTTTGTTTTGTGAAAATCGAAAAAATGGTGTTTTTATACTTTGAATAAAAAATATTCGTGATATTTTTGCTGTTATTGTTTTTTTACAATAAACGTAACTTTAAACCATTTATTATGGTAGGTAATCTCTAAATAATTAAAACAACAAAACTATGGATGAAACATCTTAAATGGGAAACAGCGAAGGATACATGCGAATGCCACTGTAATACTCTACATAACAAATGACCAAAAGTAATGTTTAATAATTGAATCATTTTTTAAGGTGAGAAATTTTAAAATAGATAATAAGATATAAACCACCTTTATCATAATGCAGAAAATAGCGATATTTTGCATTATGATAAAGGTGGTTTATATCTTATTATCTAATGTTTAATAAATTCAGGAAATAAACGTATTGTTTTAATGCAGAAATAGAATGTATTTCAGGTCACTATCAAATTTAATGGCAAAATGATGTAGTGTATTTCTTATCTTTCATGATATTTTATCGTACCATTTGCATGTTTTCCAGTAATAATAACTATTGACGAGATAACAGATGTGTATGTCTCTACGTGATAGAACGGCTGAAAATAGAAAAACCAGGGCTTTTTTTCTCCTAACAGCAAAACATCATGGGAGAGGATAAGAAACCCGTAGCTTATTTTCTCTAAAACCCAAAAACTGATAAAAATATTTGGTTCTCTTTTTTACTCTTGCACTAATGCGTAAGCTAATCAATTATTTTATAGTTTTCTAGAGTTTACTATCTAAAACCGAAAGAGAAACCTGTGTAGAATCTTTTATTACGTGGTATGAGTATATCCGTATCATAAACATGATTGTTCAATTAAACTAGATACATAGGTGATTTTGGGCCCTGTTGTAGGTAACTATTTCTTCTTTCTGTGTCAACGGATGAAAAAGAGAGTGAGTGTTGAAAAAAGCGATATAACCTATAGATAGATGAAGAACAGCATATTCTCTTTGTTGTTCTTAATACTAATCATAGAAAAAAAAGACTCAAATGTGTATGTGTTCTCCTTCTTCGTACTGCCTACATAACCATTCTTTTTTCTTATTATTCCATTCAATTAGAAAGAGAATCGAATCCTCTGAAATGAATAATGTTTGTTATTTCTGAATTGTAAAAACTTACGCGGTTGTAGATCGAACAATGTTTGTTGACTCCACCTGGAGTTGAAAAACCTTCTGTGTCTTGTACACAGGCTACTGATGTACAATGGTATACTAGAAAAGAGAAAAGGTATGTATTCATATAAACTTTAATATCAACAACAATCTTACATCCATTGGGATCTGGGCCTACTTGTGTGTGAGTAGGAACAAAGGCCATTTTGAAGAATTTTAATCTAAAATATATTCAAACTAAAAATTCAACTAGAATGCCCTGAAGACCAAGTTTACTAGTCTTTCTGCTATCTCCAAAATGTTTTACATAAACTTAATTGTTGAATGTTCACATGTCATCCCAATTATAACTAATCATTAAATCAAATGCTTCTTTCTGTGGTCGTTGTTGCTGTTGTTTAAATTCATTTTTTTTTACTAGTTTCCATAAAACACCATCAGCTGCTTTTTTCAAACCTGGTGGAGTTCCATTTTGCGGTTCTAGAAGTGCTTTAATATGTGCCATAAATTTTTCATTATTTTTCAACAGTTGAGCTGCTTCTAAGTTAAATGACATTGACCAAAAACATTCTAATGCTAATTGTTGTGTTTCGTGTGTAATTTTTACTTCATCTGCCATAAATTTTTTAAATTCACTCTCATCCTCTTCCTTTTCCCTGTCTCCAAAATAAAGCTCTCCATTTTTACTAGCAAATTTCATTAATAATTCCAAACCATTTTGTTGAATAAATTCATCTTTTATTGGTTCATGTGGAAGAAAGGCTAGTTGAAATATAAGCAGAGTAAAATTCTTTAAACTCATTTTCCCAACTTCCAAAACACTAATAAATAGGATACTCCCGAAAATAAGCAACTCTCAGTGCACGTTCCTTTACTGATAATCGCTTCACTAAGCGCTGAATGCGGTCTTTTGTTAAGAAATGTCTAAGATTTTTCAACAAGCTCAAAACGCACAAAAAACTGAAAAGTCTTCTAAAACCCTACAAGACGTTTAGAGGCCTTGAGAAAACTTCATAAGCACAGTATAGGGTTTTCTTCATCGTAGACAGGTGAAAACAAGTCGACATTGATTTTATCTGAACAACGCATGAAAGCGATCTCTGCCGCTTGCACTTTATTTTCATTTATGTTCTAAGCCTTTTAGGGTTCTACTCAGCCGCTAAATTCGTGTTATTTTGTATTTTGTGCATAAATGTGTATTTTATTTACACCGCCCTCTGCTTGGCTCGATTTCAGCACGATCTTTTCTGATACTCCGACTAAATATTACTTTTTTTTCTTCCATCTTCCAGAGTCCTCGGTCAGTTCCTTAGAATCTAGAGCCATCAAAATTACTACCACACTAGGTTTCAGGAATGCATATCACCGGACTAAAAAACATAAAGTTGGTTTTGAGTTACCGAAAAGTGCTTTTTCGTATTCAGCACACTTAGCCCAGAAGATTTTCTAGTTTTAGCGAGGGGTATTTCGAAAAGTTTAGGAAAAGTCTTGAAACAAAGTAACGCAAATAATTTTCGTTGTAAAATAATATTAGTTTGAAAATTAGTTTATTTGTTGAAAGTTTTGGAAGTACCCCTCACCAAAACTAGAAAATCTCCTGGGTTATCCAGTGTGCTGATTACGAAAAAGCACTTTTCAGCAACTGAAAAGCAACTTTATTTTTGTTGTTCCGGTGATACTACTTTTTTTCCTAATAGGTGGATAGAATTTGTTTGGTCGTACTAGATGTGTCACTTATCCTCTATCGTCCTATCTTTTGGTTCATCCTCATTCTACAAGACATCTTCCTGTTGCAAAAGCAAACATGTTTACATACCCTTTAAAGTTTTCAATAAATCTGTTAGTTCGCCACCGTCGCTTGTACCAAAAGTATTTCGATCAGCTTGTTTTAAATAATTAACGAATATTGACACTATTTCTGGTGCATTATCAAACTTTTTAATATCAGCATCATTCATAATTAATCCTAAGATATTATAATGGATCATACATAAAGAGTGTTCGTCAGAAGTCTGCAGATTTTAATGTTTTGAATTCAGAGTCGAAAGCACATCGTGATCTTGTTTGTATTACCAGTCGCTAGTGTATCGGCTGTCTAGCTTAAAAGAAGAGTTTTCTACGCTCTCCACACTCTCCTTCTCTCTTCCTCCATCCATAAGCATCTTTTATGTGTAACTACTAGGCATGAGCTAGTATGTCAGCATTTTTAGTATTACTTGTTAATTTTAATAAAATTTCTTTAGCTTGTTGATTTTGTTTCATATCTGAAAATATTTCATCATTCCCATTGATTAATAATAAGACATATTTCATTATTAAACACATAACTGGTGTTGGTGTTACTGTTATTGTATTTTCATATTTGTTCACATATTCTAAATCATAGGATTTTCCATCATTCTTCATTTCAATTTGTTCAATACATTGTTTATTATTCAAAATACCAAATAGATCATTGATTATTTGTAAATTTTCATCTTTAAATACTACAATTTCTATTTTACCTCTCATTAGAAATGAGAGCATATTATCCATAGATCGTTGCATTAATATTAAATGGGAATTTGTTTTTTGGTCAGTATAATAATTGAAATGATCAGTAACAAAAATAATTCTAAAGTCAGTAGATTTATTGAATGATCAGTAAAAAAATGACTGATCAGTAAATAAAATAGTTGATCAGTA